CGAAACACTCGATGTAAAAGTATTTTGTGTTAAGAGCTCAGTCTATCCTTAAGATATGAGCATTGTTACAGCGCTGTGGTATACAAAGTTTATTTATTTTATTTACTAGCTGTGTCAGGAACTATGTACGCGTTATATATATACCGACAACGGCGTATGTATATACACGCCGTTGTCGGTATATATATTTGTTTTTGCAAACCCCTTCATCTTTATAAACTTAAGCTGTCTATAGTTTACGCTAGTAGTACACATTTAAATAAAACACTTTAACGGTTTAAAACGCGATATATTAGTTAAACTTATTAGAAAATGATGAGCGTCGCGGACTTTTTTTGTTGAACATTTGAAGAGGAATCATTCTTTTTTTACATATTTTTTGGGTATCTTGAACCGGTTTTGCAACCCGGTTTTTCGGACCCACAATGATGAACCCAATTTTTTTCACATTTCTCGCTGTATCTTTGCTCGTATTATTCACAGAGCGATGTTCTATAGCCTATAGCCCCGATAAATGCTCTAACAAACACAGAACTCGTAGTTCCCGAGATTAGCGCGTTTATACATACAAACAAACAAACTTTATATATTAATATAGATTTATTACAGCTTTATTACTCATAATACACACCACAAACACTACAAGAGATAAAAACGTACGTATAACTTATACATTGTTAATATTAAAAGTTAACATAAAAAATTATAATAATACAGATAAAACTTATATACCAGCATGGAGAGCAATGAGCCTAATCGCTAAAAAGCGATCTCTTCCAAGCAACATACATTTTAGGAGAAGAAAAAATAGAGACAATGATAGATGAAGCTAGAGAGAAGATGAAAGAATAGAGGTAATAAGAAAGTTTATTATTTAAAAATGGAATTTATTTATATTTGTAGTCTAGGCTATACCCACTCATAGTTTAATGGAATCTTTGCAAATGGGGACTTGGGGTAGCTGGATCCCGTAGCTGGATTATTGTCGATTTTATTTACGAGCATGGTGGGCATGCCTTGCGTACTTTTTCCTCTCCCCAAAATCTCGAACCTAAGTCCTATTGTAAATATGAAATTATATGTTTAACCATTAAACTACAGAGGGAAACAGAGTAGATGTAGCAGTTATACGAAGTTAAAAGCTCGATGTAACCGCTAACAACATAAATTCAAGTTGTATTGCGTTAAAATATTCTATGTAAGGCTATTAGTTTTACCACGAAACTGCAATGTAATTAAAATGTTTTGTTTTATTTAATACTCAGTGAAAGAAGCAACGTACCAGTCTAGGGTTTTAATAAGTAAATATAATACATGTAAAGAGCTAACACAAGTAACATACATTGTGTGATAGCTTTCTCCTTTTTAGGAAATTAATAATACATACCTACTTTTTTCACACATTTTAGTTTGCAAATCAATTTGATAGGCTGGTTCGTTCAATAATAGTTGTACATTCGATTCCCGTGCGTTTGTGAATCATTCTATGTTTAAATAAAACACATTTAACCGTTGAAATCTTTAAATATACTAAACGGTAATTTATTTTTACGACAGCCCGTCGTTTCGGATACTTCATAGCAGCCGTGGGCAATCGGAGACTGAAGGTGATTGATACTCCTGTTTTATTTATTTCCTGTTTAAACCGTTAAAAGTGTTTTATTTTAACTACTCGCATTGACTACAAGCAATGTTTAATGGGTTACTGATTTTTCTAAATAGTAGTAGTATAATTTTGAAAGTTCTGGACATTAATTGGGTGGTGTGAATATTGAAAGCGATGACCAAGCTTAGATCCCAATTCATTAAAAAAATACGAAAGTACAACAGAGGTTTAATATTTCTTTGATTTAAGAGTCAATTGCACAATAAGGAAACCGTGATACCATCTCAACTATAAAACTCTCTTTATACCATACTTAAGTAAAATGCTCTTGTAATTTGCGGAACGGTATTGGCAATTTCAGTTTCAGTATTGAGCCATCAAAGAGCAGACTGGAGGAAATTCTCTGTGCAGCCTTTGTGTCTACTCTCATAATGTTTTCACCACAATCGCGGGAGGGAATTTTGTTAATATTCACCGGGTATCGAAGGCTAGACAGCTGGATTGATGTACATTAGAAGATAAACTGGGCCAGTATATAATACGGTACGGTACGGTAATACGGTATCGCACTATCGTGAATAGTTTACTATATTACATATTTAAATAAAACACTTTTAACGGTTTAAATCGCTAAATACACTTACTTTCAAACTCTTACACACAATATGCCTGCGTCTTTTACTACACTTAAGAAAACTTGTTTGCAATTTATTTTAACTGCGGCCCGACGTTTCGGATCCATTGCAACTTCCCATAAAATGTGGAAAAGTTGAAACGCGTAAAAATTCAACTACTAGATTTACATTTCAGCTCGCTAATAATTTAACGTTTTACAGGTTTTTTTTCGGAGAAATGGTTTTTAATTTAAAGTTAAGTGTATAATGCAACACGATTTACACTTAATTTTCAGAGAATTTAAAAAAATTATAGCTCTGACCTGGGCATTTCATATAATCTACAAGGTGAATAGATATTTTTCATTTTAGTTCGTTTCAGTTTGTTCATGTCTATCGTGGTATTTGTGACAGAGGAGAGAGAAGCGTGTGATGAAACTTGAAATAACCCAGCCATATAACATATAAATAAGGTGCGGTATCGACCTATTTCGGATTTGTCATTCGGGAATCTACAGACTGAAAACGCACACATTTAATATCAAGATTTTCCAGACGAAGTCCTACATGTTTCAGAATTTTTTTTTTAATGACAAACATGTTGAACTGAGTGGGGATCGAACCCAAACCGACAACCAACAAGGCCGTTAAAACTTTAACCTGCCAGCGAATCCAGTCCATTGTTTATTGATTGTTAATACCATTACTACTTAGGTGAAGGTGAAAATGTGGTACTTATCAGCAGTAATTTGCATTCGATTTTGCAAAGGAATATGTAAATAAATAAAAATAAAATATACTTTATTCTCTTTAAAATCTTTAAAATTATTTAGATTCGTCAAAATTGTTTTGTTTGTCTGTCTGTTCGACGTGATTGTTTAAAAGAACAACATAACCGAGAAGAACACACAAGAAACTCAGTCCGGCTTTTTTTACATGTCTTATAAACTAATACATGGTTGTGAATTTACTAACCTAAGGAGCAATTCATATCCAGGTGGTCTTGTCATTAAAGAAATCGTTATGTCGTTAATGTTATGTATACAATCTAATTAATATAATATGTAGTAGGTTCGCCTTACGATTTTTAGATATAATATACCTTTATTTAAAAGTTATTTTAAAAGGGTTTAAAATATTGGTTTAAAAATGTTAAAAAATATACCGTTATCAAGACTTACTTGAAAAATTAAGAATCAACAACGAATTTTAATTTGATAATTTGATTATATGTCTGTTTTATGGTTCATAATTGATAATGTCCTTAAATCAATTTTGGTGCATTTAGAGTTAATAAGGTACTTTTAGGAATCAGAAGCGGATTTACTAAAATAAAAACAAAATAACACAACAACTAAATAAATTAAAATTCAACAAAATCCTATCGACCGGCAGCACGTCCGTTCCGTACAACGAGCGGCGACCAAGTGTGCGAGCCGTTGCTGGAGGCTTGTTTATATAGCCTTCAGTGTGGCGGGTAGTTGAGCTTTTCTGATTTCCAACACGGCCTCTCCTGACCGTGTCCGTCCTCGGGCACCTCCTCTGTCGCGACCCCCTCGCGTGAGTCTGTGCAGCTGGGGACGGCTACCTGCAGCCGCGTGCACACGTGACCACGCGTTGTGCTAAGCTGTCTTTTTATGGAAAAAAATACGGTTGGCCGAAGTATGGAGAGCTACATCCCGTAGCTACCGCAGTCGTCCTCGAACCGATCGCCTCGAGCCGGGTCGCCTGCGGGCCGGCTAGGAGTCCGGAACGAGTTCGACGGCTCAGGGCAGTGCCTGTAGACCCTCTGTACTTCGGCTGAGCGCGTGACCGCGCAACCTGAAGCACCGTTTCTTCGCACCACAACATCGACGAGAGGACGCACGAGCGCACATCCACGATGCGCGGGTATGTCGGCTGACCTCGCCGCTCGCGCCCTGCTGCGACTCTGCCATGTGACACCAACGCCCAGAGAAGACACCCAGGCGGCGGCCACCGCTTCCGCGCTCTAAACGCCGGAAGTTGCGATTTCGGCCGTCACCCTCCTCGACCGCCGAAGGAAGCCGCATGCGCGCCGTGTAGTCCGCGCGTGGGCTGCGCGCTGCTACTGGTGGCGTGGCGCCGGTTGAACTCCCCCTCGTTCCAGGGTCGTCCCGGCTGCCTGCTGCCGCCGTGCCGCTCTCCCGATGCAGCCATTGAACACGAACAAGAAGCACAGGACACGGTGTGCGCGAGACGAAGCCGCCCGTGTCTCCGAGCGCCTGCTGCCGCTCTCCTAACGCATCCATTGAACACGAACAAGAAGCACAGGACACGGTGTGCGCGAGACGAAGCCGCCCGTGTCCCCGAGCGCCTGCTGCCGCTCTCCTGACGCAGCCATTGAACACGAACAAGAAGCACAGGACACGGTGTGCGCGAGACGAAGCCGCCCGTGTCCTCGAGCGCCTGCTGCCGCTACCAGGATCGTCGGGTGTTGAAGAGTAGCCATTCAACATCCTCCTCACACGAAGCGTGCAGCACCCAGTACATCGGTGCGCGAGACGAAGCCACCGACGTCACCACCGGCGTGACGCTGCTCAGCAGCACATCTACTGACAGGCTCGTAGAGACGAGTCGCGTAACCCGCAACCTTCCGCAGGCACATCAGCGCGAAGGAGAATACCTAAACATCCATAAAAAACTCCAGGATGTGCACACAGCTAAACATCCATAAAAAACTCCAGGATGTGCACACAGCTAAACATCCGTAGAAAACTCCAGGATGTGCACACAGCTAAACATCCATAGAAAACTCCAGGATGTGCACACAGCTAAACATCCATAGAAAACTCCAGGATGTGCACACAGCTAAACATCCATGGGAACAGGTCGCATCTCCAGGGTTCCCCCAGAACTTCCCATACAGCCACGCTGCACGACCACCACACCAGCGAAGTCAATCGCCGATGCTCATATTCACAACTGCAACATTAAGTAAAAACATTACAGACATTTAAATAAAGACGTGTGCAGTATCTAGGCACCATATATTGGGCAGCAGCCTGTGTTGTTCAACTTCATTTTGCATCAACCGTTCGGCCGTCCTTTGTAATCCAATTTCTCGAAAGGCTTCACGGTTTTTACCTGACTCGATGGCGACAACACATACCAAAGCTCGTATTACAGGTGTTGCGTTTTCAGAACCGACCTGAGTTGATAAAATCTCAACGACCTACCCTCTAAGGCAGCTAAACAACGCAGAATTATAGTTTCTAAAGACTGAGGACACGCGCGTTGTAACAATATACCCCTAGACCACGAACGATTATGATCACGTGATTAGCTAACGTTTCGATGGCGATAGTCCTATGATAAAGACGGGACGTGCTGCGTGATCGCCTATTCGCGAATGTCTACTTCGTGAGCGTTCTACTCGTATACGTTTCCCTTTCGATCGGGACAGACTTGATCTATCCATAACGGTCAAAACTATTTCGATATAAAAACCAAAAATTGTAATTATCCGAGGGCGTGAAAATCTTTATCCCACTGCTGATTTTAGGAATCAGAAGCGGATTTACTAAAATAAAAACAAAATAACACAACAACTAAATAAATTAAAATTCAACAAAATCCTATCGACCGGCAGCACGTCCGTTCCGTACAACGAGCGGCGACCAAGTGTGCGAGCCGTTGCTGGAGGCTTGTTTATATAGCCTTCAGTGTGGCGGGTAGTTGAGCTTTTCTGATTTCCAACAGTACTTACTAGTTCACTTAGCTTTCCTCATTAAATTTTTCCAGACGAAGAATGTACAAAGTGCTTGAATAGCGTAAAAATCCGTTCCAATCCTCTTAAAGCTTTAAGTTTTACTTCAAATGTGTTTCAGATTTTGTGAAATCGCTATCTGACCACCAGCTCGTTCTGGGACATCATAGTGGGCTCTGTGGTGGTTTATGCCCAGCTGTGGGAAAGTGAGAGATGATATGTAATAAATTCTGCATCCTATTGTTTGCCTTATATCAAGAGCCATACACTTATTGAATACAAAAAAGTATGCAAAAAATTTATTCTAATGCAATATTAAAAATAGATTTGCATTAAAATAAAATTTAAATTGTATTGCCAGCCGTCTGAGACGCGAATATTTCCTGAAAACGTTTGATTCAGGAGACGAATTGAGTTATGACGGGAGATTTCAGGGGTGTTGAATCAAATCGTCGAGTGATTTTCTGAATGTTTGTTATACTGCTTCCTTGGTCCATTGGTAGGTCTAGTAAAGTAACGAGGCCTGCCTATCTGTCTACACTATTTTATATTCTATCATTACTTCGTCTGGAAAATACAGATAAATGGGTTGTCGGAATTATATATAACATTTAATAAAACACTTTAACGATTAAAAATGCGATATATATAATTGAACATATTTTAAAATTATTTTTCCTAAGGCCCGACGTTCGAGATGCTTTACAGCAGCCGTGGTCGTGGTGGTAAAGTGTTTCATATTAAATGTTGTACTATTCGCGTAAACTACAGATAGTATTTAATTAAATTATTTTACAGATGGTGCAGCCGTTATATATAACTGCGTTTTGTTTGCTAGATGTTTGAATTTTCAAAAACAAAATGGGTCGACAGCGTCTCGTTTAAGTGCTATTCGGCTGAGGTTTCATCCTCCATCAAGAGAACTCCACGTTTATCACAATACAAACAGCTAATGCTTAATAACGTGTTAAAATGTAATTAGTAAGGGTAATAAGGATGGACGGACACAACTTTTTGTAGACTGTTATTTTATATCACGAAACGTAATAACCAGAATGGAACAATTCCTGTGTTGGAATATTATTATTATCACAAATTACTGCAAATTTGAATATTGGGAAATGTATGCATGGCGTTTACCGATAACGAAGAAAATGCATAATTGTGACAATTATTATAGTGAACTTCCAGTTCCAACCGTTTGCCTGAATAATGTACCACAAAATCCTGTCTTCTTTTCTTTTATATCCAAAGATGTTAAGTCTAGTTCTAGGCTTGCACAATTTCAATGTATTCGTATAAGTATCAGAAGTACGTGTTAACAAAATGTCAAAAGAGAAGGTGGATTTTATTTAACACATTAATTATTTATTAAATTTAAATAGATTACTTTCAAAGATACATCAACAGTATTCTTACGTCAATTCCAATAACATGTATAATATAACATGTATACAGCTCTGTTTCTTAAAATAAATATGAAACTAACAATTAGTAGTAAAAGTATTAAATGTTGCGAGGTGTGGAGGTGAAATATTTACATTTCTTTACACAAAAAAAATATTTTTCAATCAAAAATGTTTAAGTTATATTTTTGTCTAATAATTGTTCAAAACGCAAAACAGTTTTATTCATCACTTATACCGGTTTATAACGCAAAATATGATTTGTAAACGCGATATATATTTGATATAATTTTATTTATTACTTTTTTGTTCAACTATTTCCACAGCAAATCACTGTTTTTCTACAAGAGCAATATCTTCACTTATCACCTCGGGTTCGCCATAATTCAAAACAATAACAATTTGTACAATGACGTCTTATCTACACACCTAAGGTAGTATCCCACAGGTTATTTATATTTCGCGTGAAAATGAGCCATTAGTTAGAACTCGTGTAACTTGCCCGCTTTATATATTCCCAACCCTTATAATGAGTTTCTTATGAGACAGTATATGTGTACAAACTATGTATCGAGAGATTAGGGAGCGGTTTAATAAGGGAGACAAGGTTCCTTCAACTTCACCTGCAATCACTTTAAGAAAAACTGTAGCAAAGAAAAAATAATAATAAGGGACACACAATCTAGTAGTAAAATCCCACGCCTATATGGCGAACAAACTTCTATGTCTGTTTCACAGATCGATTTTATTTACAGGCTTCTATTTTTTATGATAGAGAAGGACATAGAAGGATATAACGCTCAACATCTCAACTCTAAAGCCATATGAGAACACAAGATTCGAAATTCGGATTTCCAGGTGAAATCCTACATTTTTCAGAAAAAATATTCTGAACATTTTGGGTACGGTGGGGATCGAATTCATGACCTGTTGGTCATACATTAGACTAACGAGTAATGTCTTCGATCCCCGAAAAATTATAGAATGATTAGAAACATGTTGGAACAGGTGGGGACCAAACCCATGCTACCATTAGACCAACGAACACGTCAATTTTTTTTTTCTGCGAGGCGAACCCGTGACGTCATAGGCTTGAATCATCTACGCCTCATTTTCGAAAACGATCAATTGAAATCATAGGCATGTTTTAAAGATAAAGGTATTAGTTACGAATGCATGATATGTGAGAAAAAAATCTTGCACTAAAACCATTTTATGATATCAATGTGCTTTGACTTACTTAGTGTCACAAATTTCTTTTGTATTATGTTTTTATTCAAATACAAGAAAGATTTGAACAAATGAGCACCTTTTTAAACACTAAGCTTTCCAATAGCGGTTAGAGAATGCAAAGCTGTATTGGAATGAAACAAAAGGTGTGCATCCTACTTTCCTATTGCTTTTCAGCTAATGAAAGAATAATGAAATCGCTGTTTGTTCGTGGTTTGTGTTTATAGGGTTTTTTGCAAATAAAAATGCAGCTCGACTATAAAGCAATATAAATTCCTTTTCTTTTATTTAAATAAAACACTTTAACAGTTTAAAACGCGATATGTGAATAAAAACCGTAGTCACGGGAGATGGCTGTTGCAAAGCATCCGAAACGTCGGGCCGAATTTAAAAATCATTTTCAAATAAGTTTAACTAATAAATCGCGTTTTAAACCGTTAAAGTGTTTAATAGTATCTATTATCAAAGTCAAAATGATATGTATAAAGACTTACCTCTCTGTATATATGGACACACGCTAATCTTTAAAATACCTCAAGGATGTATTGATAATTAAGTACAAAAATAGTTTAATTTAAAAGCCCGAAGACCACTTTATCACACAGACGAAATCGTGGGATGTAGCTATAGAATATAAATGAAGACAATGTGTATCAATTATTATTATCTATTTCTACTTTCTTACTCAAGGTAAACCTACCCGCAATACTTAAGTCATTGGATGTCATGAATTTGGTAATGTAAACTCTTGATACAGGATGTATATAAACTCTTATATATAAAAAGTTCAATGTAATTAAGAATAGTTTCCCAGTCCCATTTTGCGCGCGTAAACAAGTACAAACAGGTTCGCGCCGGTCAAGACGTCGGCTTGCTCTCATCTTCTCGTAGTTTTGTCTCATGACCACTCTTTAATTAGCATATTTATTTTATTTTATTACGAGTTACACAGAGTACCGAGTCTCAATCGAGTACTCGGCCCATCTCTAGTTTCGACCTACTACACCATCGGCTAAAAGCATGTTTGAAAAACTAAAGTATTTCGTTCTATTAACCTCAGTGTCTTAAAACTGAAGTATTAAGGCACTGAGGTTAATAGAACGTGAACCAGCAGTGCGTGTTACCAACATACGACGGCGACGTACGGTACCGAAACATCGTCTTTTACCGCGAGAATGGTGCAAATCCTGATCTGAGCTGAGCGTAGCGTGCTATTGGATGGGTTAAAGTCACTGACTTAGCAAGTTAAACTAGCAATGGGCTGGACACATCGCTCGTAGAACTGAGGGCTGTTGTGGCGAATAGAGCGACGACCTGGTCAAGGGAACTAAGTAGGTAGAAAATGCGCTGGATTCAAGTAGCGAACGACCGGTCGTACTGGAAGTCTTTATGGGAGGCCTATGTCCAGCAGTGGACACCGAATCGCTGAAACAATATGTAGGTAGGTAAATATTTATATTAGTTAGTATAGAGTTAAAATTATATTAGTTTATCAGTTATCGTCTTTCTTGGCGATTTGACTTCCTAAGTAAGAAAATGCCGCTTCAATCAATCTACAGGATTGACTAGAATAAACTATATGTAAAAATACAAGAACCAATTCAAATATGTACTTCAATAAATGACTAGCTGGATAACCAGTGTAGTCTTTCCAGAAGTTAAAATAGAAGTGACGAATATCTTAAGAAACAACCTGTATATAGCCTCTACGTAATTTTACTATTAGGCTTCTGTTGACGTTGGCGTGAAGCCAAGGCGTCAAGAATTTCTCGGCTTCCCAACTTTTCGGCGTCAACTGAGCCTTTTGTTATAGAATCTTTGACGTAATATGCAAGAATCCTTTATTTGTAAGTCGAGTGAACGCAATTGTCTCTATTATGACATGAAGATCTTTTAATCTTAAAATTGTTTGTACTTTCATTTAGGGGAGAAACAGATTGTTTTAGTGTATAAATCTATACTAATATATACAGCTGAAGAGTTTGTTTGTATGTTTGAACGCGCTTATCTCAGGAACTACTGGTTCGATATGAAAAGAATCTTTTTGTGTTGATTAGAGCTTATATCGGGGAGGGCTATAAAACATTGCGCCGTGTTTATTAGGAGCGAAGAAACAGCGGAACTGTGGAAAAGACGAGGAAAACTATTCATATTTGTCGGTTTCCGATACGTACGCTGCGAAAACGGTCCAAGATACACAAAAAATATGTAGGAGAATGATGCTTCATGAAATGAAAAAAAAAATGTCCGCGACAGTATGTCTGTATCTTAAGATTAACTAGCAAGAACGACGGGGTGCGACCGACGTCGTGGATAACAGCATAAATTTGTAAAGATGAAGAGGACGTTTGTAAAAACAAATTTGGATACCCAAATAACTATTCTACGCGAACGGAGTCGCTCACACACACATACACACAGCTAGTTGTTATATAATATTCTATGTCTAAGTACACTTGACATTCCAGAAGTCGCGTGTTCGAGAACCACTTGCGCATCAGTTATGTTTGTTGTCGTTGTCCAGAGTATGGAAAATATGAGATCTATCAATATAATTTGGACAGGGTAGATAAAGGGTGCGAGACTGAATGATAAATAATATAATCATAGTGTTCCTCTAAGTCACATTCAAATACTAAAAGTAAATACAATATCATGTGATGGTTCTACAAATAGTCGTATAATTTTTATAGCATACAGATAATTTTGTAAATATTTAACCAAGCTATTCTGTATTAAGACGACCGTAATACATTATAAATCAGTGCAAATATTGACTTTGTATTCAAAATTAGCATCATTAAACCATAATCATGAATAATTATATGGTATTCTATGTGGCTTCAGGAATATATTTTCTCAATGACTACTCAATGATATAGAAAAAAACAAAGGACATTATGAAATATTTTTTATTATTATCAGTTCAAATATTATATTTACAATCTTTCAAACTATTAAAAGCCTGGTACATATGGGTAGTAAAAAAATGCGTGTGTTTTAATGATAAGTAATAAAAAAAAAACATGTCAATAAATGTATAATACCTTATGTAATTACAAAAATGAAATAAATCTCATATTTTTTACGTTCTTATTGCTTTATTAGGGTATATTCACACTACGTTGAAGACAAAACCTGAAATAAGGCTGCAAAAGTTGATAATCGCTTTGCATTTGATTACTTAGGTTACGTTCTCTAAATAACCTTGCCATTTTTATTTTGAAGAGATATTTTGCAATTGAATATACAGTGTGGACAACCCTTTACAAAATCTTTGCACTAAAGCGAAGAAACTTCATCGGGACAAGATTAAAGAAAATGGCAACGTTAAATGTTGTAACTAAATTATATAAAGGATAACTAAACTAAACTATTTACACATCATTCGTTAAAGTCCATACAAGATCAGTTCTTCATTATAAAAATGCAGTTACAGTGTTTTACACGTTATGTGGGTAGATGTACGTTCGAGTTGTATACTCGTCTTAACACAAATAAAGAAATAAGCTATTCGTCATCAAATCTATTAACAAGATGAAACATATTGTAATCGCTTGCACACATTAGGGCGAGTACACAACACAGTTATAAATCTCGAATATTATACACATATACAAAACGCGTGTGCGTCCGTGCCTCACTCAACGGGTGACTCCACTAAATTATAGAAATACACATAAAACAACAACTCATGTACACATATTGCGTCTATACATTTACTTTCTTATTAACTCACTAATTGGTGTTCGGAACCGAATTTAATATTAATTTTTCACTATCGTTCGGGGAGCGGTACCATTTTGTGACGTTAAAATCTTATAGGCACTTGGCAACGAATTTTAGTACGACAGTAAAGTTCTAGCTTTTCTAGTACACTAGCTAATCTAAGCTTTCAGCGAGCTACGAACGCTAAGTGGATATTATGTAGAGGATACTGGAACACACATTTTAATGTTATTTTTTGAGACTAATTAACTAGACTGTTAGTTTCTTCTAGAATACTCGCTTAAAAATCTAACTGGGGTGAATAAATGCAATAATTAATTGCAAGGGAAACCGCTAAGCAGTGAACGCTTAAATACCGCTCCCCCGCCCCATACCCCAAACGTGTCTAAAGCTCGTTACTACGCTACACTACGTATACGTTCTACGCCAGCGCTATCACAACTCAATTATACAATTTTATAGGATTTATAAAAGGCGCGCCTTTGAAAGCCGCCCTTTCACAGTCCCAGTGTGAGTTTCGTTTCAAAGAGTACGAACTACAAGGTGCGCCTGTATTTTACATACCCTGCTTATGACAGGGGACAGACTTGATAAAAAGTGAACACTACCAACATGAAATCTAAGCAAACTGTGTACTGTCGACTTATTTTCGCTTTTGTCGTCCGGAAGTCACGGGTTGATACTTTACGACTATTTAATCGTATTCCTAACTTTCGAACAATGTTTTCCCGGTGGGAATCGAATCTATGACCCGTTGATTGTTTTAACCACATATACCGTAACAATACCGTAAAAACAAAAAGCCCGTTATAATTTTCTATAAAAATATTGTTTGTTCTGTAAATTATCAACTTAAAATAAAACATTGTTTAAATGAAATTGCAATTAAATAATGAACTGCATTTTGCAAAACCAATTCACATTCACTAGAATCTCAATTAAATCCATTAAGTATTAACTATGTAAGCTCTTAAGTCCTTCAACTTATTGCTTTCATCTGCGCCACTTTGTTTTTCAAAAGAATGAATACGGAACCAAATTACTACCAGTACACTGAAATGAATTAAACTTTTAGAAAGCAAATAAAAAATTAAAACAATATAACCCCTTGAATCCGATTTGAATCGTTCGTTGCAATTGAAATAAGTGACTATTTCAATGCTTTTCAAAATCTCTTTCGTAATGATTCCCTACAATATTTACCTAATGAATTGTATAATTGTAAGTTGTAAAAACTCCGGCAGCTAAACGCCCTAAAAATCGTGAGGGACCTAAATTCCTAAACGGTAAATTTTCCTAGACATGCGACGGCACTAGTGTCCCCCGTTAAAATCTAACCTTCCATTTAGTATTTTAATTTCCTATCAATACAGGACGGTCCCACACTTAAACCTGAGATCTGAACTAATGTAAACACATCCAACCAATTCCAGCACAATTGGAACTTGCCATGTACGTCGCCCTGTTCTTCATCATGATCCGATGTGACCATCAGACGTCAGTTGTTCAATTCACCTGGTATCACTGGAAGCAGTCCATCTCTCACTGTTCCAAAACTAAGGAAGGCAATACGAGACGGCTATGATGTCGTGGAAAAGACAACCAGATATTTTACTGGTGGATAAGCATAGTGAAAGAATAAAGAAACTATCTTGGAAGGAATGTGCAATACATGTCGAATTTAGAAAATACTTCAAGGTGCTCGAAGCGTATGATCTAGCTCTCATAAGACTGCGTACTTGTAATCGCTTAACGCTTATAAATATAAATAAACATCTTCAAAATTTCTCCCAAAATTATGAGCATATATCCAGCGTAAAAATCCTTTTAAAATAAATCATCGCTCTCAGTTAAAGATACAATACAATACATGGCACACTGCTTGCGGGCCTGCTGTCGGGAGAATTTATTTGTTTAGGTTAATAAAAGCATATGAAAAAGCTCTTCAAAGACTTCATTGAACAGATATATTACTTTTGTAATATACCTTATCACGACGAAAAACATTTTAATGCTAAACGTCGCAAAACGGAGGGTGGTTTTCTAGTTTTCTCTTGGAATTAACGATCTTGATAGCTTTGATCACAATTATCCCCAAAAGCAGGCCAGCTACTCAATATAGTACAGATTACAATCGACCTAACGATACCTTGTCACCATAGAATAATTGAATTATATGGATGGATATAGAGAAGCTTATCAAGCGCTAACACTGTGTTGACATCGACGGATATGTTACTGACGTATACCACTGTATCTGTCCATACAAATTCCATATTTAGTAAACGTGTGTCTATCCATCATCGTTGCTAATAGTTGTATACTTTTATATAATCAACAGCGTCAAGATACAGTGGTATACACTGCTAACTGGGGTTGTAAGAAACACTCGGACACACATTCGATGCCTGTCCACACAAGGATGAAAATTTCACGAAATATTGGTCCTCCGAAAACGATTCAACCAGGTTTTGGAGTATTAAACCTATAGGAATTAGAACGTACTAACTAATGAACGTGTCGCTTGCTGGCGATTGTCGACACTAATATCGATAGTCAATATGCGCTAGACGACAGAAGGAACAAAGATTCAACTAAAAGTTCGCATCGGTGGGCTTCTATTCTTCGGGGTGGAGACTTACGCCCTCCACTGTGAATATTGACACCTCTGTAACAATGAGCCAGTGTTAAAAAGTTATTAGTACAAAATATACAAAAACTCACATTATATAAGTAAAAAATCGATCACACATATGTCGACGATGGCGTGTAGGGCATGGTAGCTCAATTGTTTAGAGCAACACCACGGCTGTAGATTCTTAATTTACTAGAAAACATTTCAATATTTTCATGTTGGTATTATATTAATTAAAAATCTATATTATATAACCAATTGAGCTACCGAGTCTGTAATCAATTGATCTCCTGAGGTTAGAACAACAGCACGGAACGCTGACGATGCCGGTTCAAGTCCTGCCCGAGTTGAATTTTTTTTCAATTTACTTTCGATTTGTAACTTATATACTACCATATGCAATAATATGTAAAAAATGTATTAAAGTTTTCAAGTGACCAGTATATTCTTCAAACGTGATAACGGAAATGGAGTCGCCAATGATTGTACTTAATACAATGCAGTTCGTCTTACACACATTCACCATGCAAATACCAAAATTGTTATTGAGCTTGCCAAAATTGGGTATGCGATAATTTGGCAGCGGTTCCAGCACGTGGGTTCAGAAAATAGGCCAGGTTACTTCGAAATGTTATCAAGAGCTTTTTATCAACATTTTATAACTTAGACAACGAAAGATATAAGATATCTTTATATATTTTGGCGGGGCAGTAGCTCAATTGATAGAGCAACAGCACTGATCGCTATAGTCGTCGGTTCAACTCCCAGTCGTGTCTTTTTTTAAATAGATGTTTATTTCATGATTCGTGCGTTCTAGAAATAAGGCCTCTTTCATTATAAGTTTTACCTGTAGTTTACGTAAGAAATACAGATTTAAATATAAAACTGTTAACGGTTTATTTCGCGACATATATTAGTTTTAATAATTAATCTATTTACAAATATATTTCCCGTTTTAACCGGTAAAACTATTATTTACACGATCGTCACGGATAAATCTTACCATCGGGTAGATCTGAGAGACGAGGCGATAGTTCGGCGAAGTAATCGTGGCGCATCGCTCTAGGCGCGGAGAGACGACGCGTCGGGTCTGGCTGTAATAGGGCGGCGGCCAGCCTCTGCGCATCCCGTCCGGCGTCGCGCATGCGCGGAAACGCCGCGGCCAATGGCCGAGCCGCGCACCAGCCCCAGCGCGCGATGTGCGAGCGTAGCCCTGGTAGACGGGTCACGCCAGACCAACTTTCCTCAGTTGGCGTACCGAGAACCTATGTGTTGATAAATTAAATGATTACAAAACATAAAAGTGAAATCCCGTTTCCACTGATCCGTTCTTTAACAGGCAAATAGTTATATCAGACGTCTGTGTGCCCTGCCCGTCCGAAAAAAAAATGTCTCCCAAGCCCAGGACCTCTCGCGTTGCTAGGAAATACGTTTAACCGTTTGGATACAGAGGCGGTCAACAAACAAACAGAAAAGCAGTTTTTAATACAGTAGAACCTCGTTAAGTCGAACCTCAATTAGCCAAAAACCTCCACATTTCGAAAAAAAAATTTTTGGCGTATCCGACTTATAGAGGTTCTACTGTGTAATAAAACATGATAAACCGTGAATCAATACTGATTGATCTTCGGTTTTGAGGAACCCGGTCCCACAAGAAGTACACTTAACTGAAACTTGGCAAAAAAGGAGTGCCGGCGAGTTTCCTACCTTCGTTCTACGTCCTTGATTAAGGAACTTGCTGTAAATGTAACTTTAGAGTCTTTTGTTTATTGACTCTATTGACGTTAAGTATACATTAATTTTCGCAATTAAATAAGGAATAAAGGACTTATAATATAAACAAGCTGTGCCAGCGACTTAGCGCTTGTGTATAGCGTAGAATAGTTATTTTGAGCGTCCCAATTTTTTTATATTTTTCGCTGTAGCGATGTTTTATAACCTATAGCCTTCCTCGATAAGTGCTCTAACCAACACAAAAATAATTTTTCAATTCGAACCAGTAGTTCCTGAGATTAGCGCGTTCAAACTAACAAACAAACAAACTCTTCAGCTTTATATATTAGGATAGTATTGACCGTGTCTGTAGCTTTGCTTTGCAATCGCAAGAGGTTTCGAGCTAAAATCCGACATTTTACAAATTACAGCAAAGTTGAAACCTGCTTAAAATAAAGTGAAATGACTAATTGCAATTCGAATTAACTTGTGATATTGTGAATCTGGTTTCAAGATAAGTCTTTACTGATAAATATGAAAAATAGGTTTACCTTTCGCGAAAAACGATTAGAAAAATCAGTAATAATTAATATGGATTGAGGTAAATACGAATTCTTGTGAATCCCACCTTAAATATCTTATCGAGTTGATCGTTCGTGTCGCGTACTCCGGGAAACGTTGGCACGCCACAGAGCATCTCGACGAAGATACAGCCAACGCCCCACATGTCCAGCGATGTGGAGTACTCTGTGCTGCCCAGGAGGACATCTAAATGATAGTGGAAGACCATGAATATTTAAAATTTAAAGTCTATACACAAAATCCTAAAATACAAAGTAAATAAAGACCAGGCAGGGATTCGAACCCACGCTACAAATTAGACAGTTCATTTATAATCTTATTCTCCAGTCTATAATTGTTATAAACGCCTACATGACCAAACCCATCATATTAAAATCTCGAGCAAAAGAAATGTTTCGGTCGTGCAGGGCACAGAACTTTGATCGTGTATTTGCTTGTAAAAATATATCCGCGAAACGGACCACACGAAAAGGGCAAAAAATTTACTAAATAAAAATAAAGGGATATATACATATTTACTTGTAGAAAATAGATCTAAATTCTGCACACGTACCTGGCGGTCTGTACCATAATGTGACCACTTCGTGCGAGTACGTATGGCTGGGGACAGACTTCGCCCGCGCCAGACCGAAGTCAGCGAGCTTCAGCTCCCCGTGCGAACTTATTAAGAGGTTCTGAGGTTTTACATCCCTGATAAAAACAACAATTATATTAACAATAGTTTATAAACACGAAAATATCATAAACCACAAAAATATAGATAAGAAATCAGTCGACACCCTAAAGCTTCTTTAAAGCTACGGTTAAATATCATTTAACGGTTTTAAACGTGAAATGTATGTATCTTACTCGTGCTTCGAATTCTCCATTTGCAGAAGCTACACATATTCCGCGTTTTAATTAAACAACCTTTTTTTAAAAGTGAATGAAGCCTTTTCACGACAAAGCGAATAATAGTGATCATGTCCTGAACTTGCCTGTGTAAGACTCTTCTTCGGTGACAATATGACAAGCCCCGAAGCAATTGGAACATGAACAGCCTAACATTATGACGATTGAGACCACCTGGGTGCCTCTCCATGTACTGCGAGAGATCCGTGTCCTGGTGCATTGAAATAAAGGTGAAGTAAGTATAACTGTTTAAAACGGGAAATATATTAGCAAACTGATTTTTCATTTAATTACGCCCCGACAGTTCCGATACTTTGCAGCCGTCACGGTGGCAACCTTAGATAAATAAAAATCGGATAGCTAATAAAAATAATTTAAAGTATATATATAGTCTGTAAAAATAAAAATAAAAAATATTGAGTATACTGTCTATAGTTTACGCAAGTAGTACACATTTAAATAAAACACTTTAACGGTTTAAAACGCGATATATTAGTTAAACTTATTTGAAAATGATTTTTAACTACTAACGGGGAGACAGTGACCACGGCTGCTGCAAAGCATCCGAAACGTCGGGCCGAAGTTAAAAATCATTTTCAAATAAGTTTAACTAATATATCGCGTTTTAAACCGTTAAAGTGTTTTATTTAAATAATTAAAAGTATTTATCGCGAAAAAAAATGTTATTTGTCTCTTAATACAACCAAAACTATGTCTCGATTCAGTCGTTATCAATTCAAAACAAATATACATAATTGAACAGTAAAAATCAAATCTTAGCTTCTAAAAGTATAATTTATGCGTTTTCAACTAAACATGCGTAAACAAGCAAATTTCTAAGCGTTTGTCACAAAGATAAAAATATGATTCGGATTATCAAAACATTGCGAACATTCTGTGTATTTAGGGAGACATGTAAAAATAACTCACCACGAACTCGAATACGAACGTTAGCGTCTCCCTCGTGTGCACGATATCGTGTAACGTTACTATGTTCGCGTGCTTCAATTCTTTCAGCAGAGACGCTTCACGGATGGCTGTGAACGGCGCACCCTCCTCCTCTTGCAGTCTGATCTCTTTGAGAGCGACCACTTGCTGCGTTAAACTGTAAGATATCACCCCTTAGTAATATTACTAATACTACTACATATGATATATATCATATGAAAACATTTTAATATTCTTTACATGTTATTGCACATGATGGCGCTCTATAATAGATTAAGAATCGAAAATGTTTTCAATTTAATTTCGATTTTTAATCATATATAAGTAAGTTTTATATTAATATCCGCGTAGAAAAGGCCATTTGTTTCCCCCTTTATAATGCTTATTTTTTAAAGATAAATGACGTCATCTTATCATTTATTAAGTAAAGTTACAGCAAACCATAGACAACTATTTAAAAACTCCTAAACGCGAACACTATGAAGTGATGAACATTCTGTTCTTGTTTAGGGCGACGCTTACAAAGTTGGCGTTAAGCTTTAACTTCGTACGGGGCATTAATTACTTCTAAGTATGTGGCAACTTCGTGTGACAAGTAAAGTTTATAATGTTAGAATGTTCCTTAATAACATCAATCTGCTTTTGTCAAGCTTCCATGTCAGATAGACGGACCTGTGGAAACATATAGAACCCTACTATTTTACCCTTAGTACTCTAAGCCACGAAAGTTAATTCCTTGAAGATAATTTTCTGTTCTCTGAAGGTACTTGCCTTATTCTAAACTACAATTTAGCGTATATCTGCCGATAAAACATTGTCTACTAAAAGAACAGTAGGTCAAAGTGCTGGCTGATATCACAGATTATAAGAAAGTTTGAATTTAGAAATACCACATAAGATTAACATTTATTGCTCAATTGGCAATGTATCATGAAAGTTTGAGAAGCAATGAATAGCAGAATTTGGCGAGTGGGACGTGCTCGTTCACTCAGACACCCCGAGTTTGGAACATTTGTAAACTTGTCTACGAAACCAAGTAACAGGCAAGACTTTCTACTAAATTGTTTAAGTTACATCAATTATATCGTTAATAGTTAATTATTGTATTGCAATGCAACGAGCATGGAAGGTGCTGGAATCGAACCCCATATAATAAATAGCTTCCCTCGGGTTTGGTGAAAAGTTATGATCGAAAATCGAACAGAAATTTGTCCTCTTTGTACTAAGCACGCACACAATAGTAAACGATTTAAGTGACTCTCATTACGACCTTAATTTGAATTTTAAATGCCGTATTGAAAAGTGAAAAACTAGAACTAATATCAGGATACCAAAGAAATAGAACTGAAAAGCTTAAGTCACTATTAAATGGTAATGGGTTCCCGTTTTCCAACGCTGATATTAATAGAAAATTCCTTTCAAATGTAGCGTACAGATTGGAATATATTTTTTTTCAGACCACCTCAAAATATACTAGGCGAAAAGTTGAAAAAGAAATTACAGTTCCGAGTTCGTAGACTGCAGTTTTTAAAAGTCAAATAGGAAATATTCAAGCAGGTTGGAAATCCTCCGTATATTTGAGAAGTTCGCGTTAAAGCGAAATGTTGACGGGAAGTAGGCTAAAAGCCTGTTTTACATATTGAGTGCGCTCTGTGGCTCTGGGGCAAGCTTTTTCTTGGAGACACATCACTACGCTAACTTGGTTATTTAACACTCTAATTGGCTGTATCTTTTAATAAATTTACGACATTTTTTTGCAAAAATAATACATAACCTTCAATATTTACCTCACATAGCCTACATAAGGAATTGGAGTCATCACTCCAATTAATTTTTATTAATTGTTATTTAATTGATCCTTCAGTAAAATGTCACTTATAGTTAAAACATAAGCTAACAAAATTACACAATTTGGTAGACTAAATTAATATATACTAGATGTGTCCGCGACTTAGTCCGCGTGGAATTGTGACTTGTTAATTATTCAGGCTGTTTATTAATTTATGTAAGGGCGCATTTAAGGTAGCCAGTCTATTGTAAGTGCAACTTTGCCGCTACATTCTGAACTCACTTCTCTCCTACTCTAACTCCCACGTTCATTCCTACACTCACTCTCACTCCCACACCCATTCCTAAAAAGCCAAAGAAGATAGTTTCATTGTTCTAGCTTCAAAAACCACGAATTTCTATACAAACTTTCATCCGCTTTTTAAACCCCTATCAGCCCTTTGTTAACGTTAAAAAGTAGCATGTGTCCTTTCTCAGGCTCTAAAATATGTGTACCAAATTTCATTTAAATCAGTTCAGCAGTTTCGGAGTTAAAGCCGGACAGACAGCCAGACAGAGTTACTTTCGCATTTATAATATTAGTATAGATTTATTTAAATAAAAACTTATAAATGGTATGGATAACACGGTTTGATTTTGTTCGGCATTTCTAGCAACTTGTTAAATGTAAAAAAGTAGTTATAGTGACGTAACTACAATAGACATATGGCTAATCTTTTTGTCCTATTATTAATAATCTTCGCAGCGTATGCGAATAAAGACATTTGATGGCTAATTTTTTACACCTCCCGTTGCTTTTAATAGAAATTTCTAAAGATTTCTATCGTAATCTAGTACTAAGTATAGTCTATTTTACTCAATGATAATGTAGCTTTCTAACGAAAAAAGAATTATTAAAATCGGTCCAGTACTTTTTGAGTTTATCCGTTACATACAAAAATACAAATCTTTCCTCTTTATAATATTAGTGTAGATAGCTGTTACCCACAATATTCGTATCCCGTCGTACGCGTCCCGTCGTTCGGGTCGTTCGGATCGTTCTTGCAAGTTAATATTAAAAGATAGACATATAACGATAGAAATCATTCTTTCATACATAATTTTTTGGTATCTTGAACCGTTTTCGCAGCGTACGCATCTGAAACCTACAGACATGAAAATTTTCCCCCATTTTGTTCACATTTCTCGCTGTATCTTCGCTTCTATTAGTCACATCGCAATGTGTTATAGCCTATAACCTTCCACAACACAATTTTTTAACTAAAAGAATTTTTCAATTCGAACCCGTAGTTCCTGAGATTACCGCGTTCAAACAAACAAACAAACTCTTCAGCTTTATATATTAGTATAGATAAGAAAAAAAAACAACTTGTTGTTTATTAGATGATTATGTAAAAGACACACAGGTGATTCAATTAAAATGAATCCTGTGACGGATTGTACTTGCATGCACAGCGGACAAAAATAATTGAAATTCCTTGTTTTAAAATAGTATGAATTATGTTATACAGAAGTTAGAAAGCAATCAATCTAAATTAAATTAAACGTTTCGATCGTTCCAAAGTTAACAATGTATTCACAAGTACAATAGAAATACAATTAAAACTTAAAACGAGGTCGTTACTGGTAAAGTATCAAAACTTTCGCCCTTCGTCGCGGTAACTTACTTGCTATAACCCTTGTAGACCGTGGCGTATGACCCCTCGCCGAGTTGCTCCAGTTTTATGTACGCCTCGGATTTCCCGAACGGAGAGTCACCCTGCGGACAAAAAGCACCATTTATCACATGTACCGGGGCGAGGCTACGTGCTAATCCATGAATTTACGACGACCACCAGCTTAGCATATATTTAACAGGATGCATGAAGTCCATTTTAATAATGTCAGCGATTTGTGTGTAATGAATATAAATTACATCTTCGTTCTCGGTGAATAGCATTAATGTTCTTATAAACTTTATAAACATTGTTAAAAATATATATTATATGTAGTTAATTAAACAATACGCATATAATTTCATTCATAAAATATTCATATATAAGCAGCGACTAACACAATATTTTGGTCCTTCGAGTCAGCGAAACTGTTCAGCAAATACGAATTACACGGAAAGCCACCACAAATGACACGACGTATGCAGTAAACCTCCCATTAATTAATAACGAAAATATTATTATCGTGAAACATACAATTATTTGTTTTTAACTGAATAATTTACTTAATTTAGTTTTAACACGAAACATGTTCGGGCTTTCACGCTCAGCTAAGTAGAATTAATAAAGTATACGTATAAATATTTCACTTCTGGAATATGATAAATTTTCTTGAAATATCTTTGAATGCAGGAAAGCGGCAAGCAGCAGTGTGCGAGTGACAGATGAGATATGGTTGTAAATGGGGGAGTGAAATAGTTCCCACCATACTGTATTGTATCCTAACCAAATATAGAGTCATTAATATGATAGAGGTTTATATTAAGCGTGTTATTTTAACATAATTAATAGAGTCAGATCAGATAACGTTGAACGTAATAGTACAAAGGAAAACAATACGGGGCTTCGAAATATACGTTTCTTGAATAAATATTTCTGAAGTGAATATTAGAGACTACTACTTATTTTCCTAATTAACAAGTCGAATAACACAATAAAACAGTTTTAACAAATATAAGTCGAGCTTCAGAAGATTTAAGCAGCTAATTTATTCAGCGAGTGCCTTTGAGTTGGAAACTGTGACCTACTTTGCTGTTAGCAGAAGCTTATGCAGTGAAACAATTTCTGCGTTTACGCCCGACGCATTCGAATCCTATCACCTGTAGCTTAATCAATTTTCACGTGAACGATCATATCATGTGTTAACTACTCAGCGTTAAGTTTCTTAGTTTTAAATATAAATGATATATTACTACTATATATTAAGCTACTTTCTTAACTTGAGATTTCTTTTCTGAACTGAACTTCTTTATACGATTTGTCAAAACAAATTGTATTCATACACTTCAACAAGAACATGGAAGTATGACGTCACTAAGCCTATACTGTTAATATATAGGCTTTTATTAGAGAGTGCGAAGAAAATTACTCAATTTTGATATATGAAAGCTAACATATTCATATGAAAAAAAAAACATATTCGATTGTAAATAACCTAGTTTACAAGCGAATATAGAATGTTATAACATTCGCTTAATATCCCAATGTATGATTTAAAACAATCATCGGAATACATAGTTAAGTCTAGGTTAGTTATTTTAAGGTATGCTTTCGGTGTACACTTAATAAATAGATATAGACTCCACCGTAAGCATAATATATGTGAATGCCTATGTATATGTTTAGTTCAAATTCAAATACAAAACTTTTCTAGTTATTTTTTATATAAAAAAAGATTTTTTAGTCCTAAATTGTTATAAAATCGAATTTCGGCCCGACAAAAAGAAAGTATTGAGCATTATCTTAACATCTTTAGCACGTTTTAATCAAGCATCTATCAAAGTCGCGAAAAGGAGCTCGCGAGTGGAGTGCATCTTGAGACCAGTGGCTTCTCATTATCCTCTGTGTCCTCGAGGGACTGTTACGAATGACTGCCCTTACACACGCCTCAGTAAAATAACCCGCAAACATCTAAGATGGTGTGGATGGTGTGGCTAGACTTACACGAGTATGTATTTTTAATACTTTCTATTTTGTTGTTTATATTAACAGCTAGCTAACTAGCTATGCCAGAGACTTCATCCACGTAAAGTAGTTAGTATTATTGGACATGAAAAATTGTTTTCTTAGAGAGTAAGCTTTTAGCTGTTACGCACGACGTCTTTCAATGTAATCTTACAGACTTATACTGTTAGGGACATTTTCTGTAATAATTTAAAGAGGAATCATTATTCTATACATATTTTTTTTGGTATCTTGAACCGTTTTCATATTGCACGCAACAGAATCTCTCACAGATTAGTAAATTTCCCCGTCTTTTCGTTTCGTTTTTAAACTTTCGCGCCTCAAGAGCATAAAAGCTGATTTATCAGAATATCCCTTTTCATGTCTTACCCCAAAGGCACTAAATCTCTTGGTACGTCTATTTGAATTTTCGTGTGGTCCTAAAAAGGCTTCAGACTTGGGCCTGGGTGGTCGCTTCGGCCTCATGATTACCCTCGCTTCCTCTCTCGCTCCTTCGTCTAACAACTTCGAGTCTGATGATACTGAGAGCTGTCTTCTAACTCGATACTCTCCGTTGCCTCCACTCCAATCTGGAAAGAACGACAAAACGACAATTACTAACTTGTAGTAATAAGTAAGTAAATATATGTATAAATTACATTCTATGTCATTTGATGGTACCATCCGGGGCCACATGTTTCTTATCGATTTATAATTTAACAATATGTTGGCCTTCGTCTGCAAATCTAGATATTAAATGGTTAGTAAATTCCGTCCGGCTCACAAATCACCGTCCATAAATGAAAAGGCGATAAAGTTAACTCTCGTTTTGGTTTCAGTCTGTGGATTTCTAAATGTCCGAAGGCAAAATAGGTCCATAGCCCAACAATGTTTTGGGGCAAGGGTATCTTCTCACCTTCTATCAAGTGAACAATACGCTAGTTTATCCTGCTTTATCTTGAAAAAAAAAAACGAAAATAAAAGAGGCGTCAAATCGACAACTCGGAAAGAATCTATTTTCTCTTGACGTCAATATTTCCGCCTTGAGGGGCACTCTGAAAACGCGTTAGCGTCACAAAGAAAGAAATCGACGCATAAACATGAAACGAATAAATCATTGGCAGACAGCAAAATCGAGTGAACTCAACAAATCGATTATGGGGACGATCGATCACGACTGCTGTAGACGGGGTGTTGTTAAGTGTCTAAATACGTCTCAGTGGTTTTAATTACCAAGCGGTTATTACAAGTGTTAAGCGAATAGCTCTTGAGTTCGAGTCACGGGGAAACAATAACTTTCAGTCAAGCAGGGCACTGAAGTTTAATCAACAATTTGCTTGAAAATAAATCGATTATTATTATTATTTTCTATCGGGGACACCCTTGGCAGGACGGGTGATCAGTCCACGTTGTCCGCCGACCATTTCACCCATTTAAAAAAAAATCGATTGATACAGGCATAGAAATGGACTGTTCCGTGTCCCAAAATGAAAATTAATGAAGAAAAAATAGATGGACAAATTTCTTGATTTACAGACGTGTTTTCACTTTTCCACTTTTGTTACTTATATATTTTCTCGAATAAGCAAATTACTGTAAATAACAAAACGAATCCAAACTTACTGTCATACTACTTGAAAATTCCTATTGATAAATTTTGCTCTAAAAGAAAACGATTAACGAGCATATTAGTTGCACATAGCTTAATAGAGACAATTTAGCATGTAGTAAATACCTAATACGATAACTAAAGTGGGTCACAGGGGGAGGATGAGACGAGTGTGGTCTTGGTACAATTCCCGATACGCGACTTGAATCCGGGACCGAGGGACTGAAACTTTTATTGGATAATATTATAACTTCCAACTATAACAACGCGCCACCGTCGTATCTTTTATCATATCCCAACGAGTACTTGAAAAATTATACGTTTTGTAAAGTAAAATTAAATAAATACTTTCTAGAACTGTACAATTTCTGCTTCGTTAAGTCTCGACTGGAAGAAAAAGTCCGTTCATTAAAAATCTTAAAACGAATGCCTAGAAGCTAATTAAAGTTTCGAACATTACAAAGCAGAAAACTTATAGTTCATTAATCATTATAACTTGTCTGATATAGGTTCATAAGTTTTACACTTATCATAGGGATGGGGCAAATTAAAACTGAGTAACACTACTGAAATCAATGCAATACTTCATAGGAGTAAACTGTAAAATTTGCAACCCTAAATTAGTTAGTATAAGTTTAATTATATCGTTACACGAATTCGATATTAATCGAATAAAAATGTCGTGTTTCACAAAATATAAATGTTAATTGAGCGTTAAGGCTACGTCGCCCCGCCTCTTTGTTTCAGCTGACATTTTCATAATTAAAATGGACACCTCAACGAAGGACTATTTGTCATTCTGTCGTGACCACAATTTTCGGAATAAAAATAATAAACGCAAAAGATAACACAGATAATTTAAATGGTATCGCTTTATCTAAACTGATTAAAACATGATTAGTAGAACAACATATTCACACCTTATTAATCAGCTTTGATACTAGTTATATACTTATATACATTTTGATTTTCAACACTTTCCAAATAAATTTTATAAGATACTGTAATAGGTATATACAATTTTCGGGCCACAATTTTGGTTTGAAATTGCATACGCATATTTAGTACATATAGTAGTAGCTACAATTTCCGTTACGTTATAAGGATTAGCGATATATATTTTTTTCTTTTTCATGTTTTGGTATCTTTTTTTTTATTATTTATATACATCTTTCTTCTATCGCAAAACTCTATTTTTAAATAATATTTTTTATTAATTTCAATTCCCGTCATCGCTTTCAGCGCTCCGTGCCTCCCTTACTACCATTCCCATAGCTTTTTTTACACGAGATATAATTTCTATGGCAAACCATCGTATGGAGGTCCGTAAGAAATAATAAATAATCAATATAACATTGTTGATGATAGATATAAATCTATCATCAACAATGTTATATTGATTAATTTGAATATTCTAAAGCAAACAATACCGCCTAAACTCCGAATCTCAACAGTTGCAGTTTCCAGAAATCACACCCTGCATAATTTCCCCAATTACAAATTTCAAATTCGACGAGCTTCCAAAACTTGTACTACATTGTACAAGATAGACTACACGAGTAATGTGAGGGAAAATTAATTATGGAGAATATTACACGTGAAGACCACTTCGTGTTAGAATAGTTATTTAATACTTTATCAGTCTTCATTCTACTACTAATCATAATGGCACTTGATAGGGAAAGCCAAGATTAATTCTTATAACTTAAAAGTCACTTAAATTTGATTTATATCATTACAATTTGATTTATATCATTACAATTTAACTTTACAAAAACTTTTTTTAAAGACATATACGTCTTCATTAAACATGTACCACAAATAAAGAGGGTAGTTTGTCATTTACTAACGCTAAAGTGAGGATGAATTTAGGTCTGTAAATTCTATAGGAGTTAAGCTGCTAATGTCAAATTGTACAGTGTTCAAGGGATTATTAAGAAACAATGATAGTAGATAATGTATAACAATAAGAACGTCTAAAAGCGTAAACGACTACAAGATAAGCGTCTGGAGAGAGTGAAACGTTCTCAACATTTCTAAGATTCATTTAAAAAATGTTAAAATGGAGTTGAATGCGAAAAATATTAATTCTAAGAACTCGTAGTTATATCTTAAGAGCTCTTTTGCTGAGATATTTCCTGCGATAGTAGTAAATGTAGATGGCAACTGGGCGAGAAGTGTTTAATGGGTACACAGCCAACGCGAATGCTGCAGACATCTAGAATACAAAAGCGATAATATTATCCGGATAAACACTGGTTTTGTCGCAATTTCATTTCATTATTGAATTGTGAAAGCTGAGCTTCAAACTTTAACGGTTAGGGAAGCAATGGAAATATCATGCTAATGATAAAATTAATTGGACCCATTCTTTAAATATTTTAATAAAGACGGAATAGTAATTTATTGCTTTAATATTCATATAATTTAAACTAATTATAATTTAAAGTAATTTAAGCCAGTAAGTTTGCTTATGGCCTGACCGAAATATTAGTTGCCGAATTACGACTATAATTACTTAATAATCTGTCATGTTTTTTTATTTAATAATTTATTCTATTGTTCATACATAAATAGCAATAGAAACACATACTTCTTTACATAAGAGTGTGGTTTTTTATAGAACTCGGATCGCGCAATAAAACAAGGAGTTACAACGTACTGACAGTTGACAACGAAAGAAAAAATGCAATTTTTAACAACATACAAAGATACAAGAGTGACCCTAGAACTTATACATAGATTCTGCTATCATATTCAATTATAAGATTATATGATCAGCAAACAACATAAGCGTTAATACAATTCGCGATATGAATAAGTTACACCATTGATTTTTCGTTAAAACGAACAAATGTAATGGTGGAAGTAATTGGCAATTAATTTGCTTCGACGGCGCGTTAAATTGTTCGGGGGAAAGTGTTCATGAAAGCCTGCCACTGGGTTTTAAACTTCACAAACGCTTCTCTTGTTTACGGCTGTTTTCGTTTGTCGATGGCACATTAATACCTTTTTCTTGGCTAAATAACGTTAAACGTGTTATGGTTCGAAACTTGAGAAAACCTAGTAGTTAGTTTTAGTGCGGAATAGCAAAAACATCCACTTGTCGCTAAATTTAACCGAACTGCGACCCAGTAATTTTTTTTTTTTTAGTACTTAGTATCTATTTCACAAAATCCTTTAGTTAATATGTATATAAGGCATCTTACCATAATGTGAATCCTTGTCGTGAGGTATGTTTCCATTGGGTTCTAGCCGGTCAAGACACTCTTCCGAGTATCCATTGTAGGGTAGTTTACCGCGGGCACCACTACCGCCAAATTGTCGATCTCGGCATTTTTCTTCACCTTCTGACTCGTCTTTTGTTGCTGAAACAATAGATATTCGTTAATTATTAAATGCATAATTTAAAACTTTTCTACTTACGTAAGTAATATAAAAGTATTTTTTAACATTACTAATATAGGTTCTCTCCCGCCATTTAAATGTGTATAGACAAGACGGCGAAGGCACTTAGACATCATAATTTAATTAATATCCTCTTCTAATAGGCCTTTATGGAGCATCCAAGGACATTAAGTACAGGTTTGGCTATTCAACCGCCCATTATAAACCTTTCAACGTAATTGAAAACCACACTTTACCATGAGTTCGCGATGTTTTTGACATTTGAAGATGATAGATTGGGATTAAACTTATTTACCAATGTTCCAGATTTGACTATAGTGAAAACGTTAAATATATTATTTCTAGACGAACTGTTAATATTTTTAAAGCCAAATCACGTGAACAATATCTTTGAACATGATTACATAAAGAATCGTTATAAAAATATATAATAATAACAAATATTTCATACGAAAAGCTAAGCAAAGTGGACGTACATCAGACGAATGACTGAATAATGTGCAGTATTAATCTATATGAGTTCTGCTGATACATCACTGGAATATCATTACTCAAAATGAATCCAACACAAACGTCGACGGGTACGTACGAAGATAAAACGAATTACGATACAAAAATGTTCGCCGGATGACAAATTGATTGCTTCAATTTCCATTTCGATTTCGATGCTCGCAGGGCGCTTTCGTTTTGACGTATTAATTAATTAAGTTATAGGCATCGATATGTTACGTATGCAAATATCGTAGTCTCTTACGTACCTGTGTGAAGGGTGAATAAACTGTTACATAACAATGGAATAACTGCCTCCTCGTTGGGTTAGTACACTCGACTAGATTCCTGGATGGGCGAAATCTTACCAAAAGCATTTTCCAGAAGGTGCCAGTTTCAGAGCTCTGGAGGTTAACAAACTTAATGTGCTCACCACAAGAGTGATAACTCCTATTAAGTTGTTGGTTGGTAGTCGATTAAGCTCGTCAAATACCCTGAAGGTGCGTGGTGGGTTTAAATTCTTAAGGACGAGAACGGAGACATGTGCCCAACAGTGAGACATTCATGAGTACAAACGAGAATAAAACAAGTTTTTACAAATGAATATAGTGAAGCTTTCATTATAAATTCAATGGGAACAAGTTGTAGATGAACTGTGAAGTATCTAGGAGGGTATTTGACAGCAATTTGCATATTACAAGCGATGGGCCATGCCGGCACGGTTAAAGTCAAGGATTGGATGATTGGTCTACGGAATATCAAACTTTAATTGGCCGCATTGAGCAAGTCCCCGCTGAGAGAGCTAGCGAGAGAGAGTCTAGTAATATTATGCATTATTTAGAAACACATTAAGCTATTTACCTTAGCGCGGTCTTCGAACGTTCTTATCTTGGCTTAGTAATGAACTGGCATTATCGTTTAGTTTAAAAGACAATCAATACGTACTGCTAGTAAGTAGCGTTCAATTATGCTTACATTTATATGATAACTAACATAACCGTAGAATTTGACTGATATTCAAAGAATGCTAAACGGATTGCTTGAGAAACAATTGGTTCATTTTTAAGAGTTTTCTTAATGGACAATGCAAATTAAATACTTCATCCCTAATGAATCCATCGTGCCAAATAATAAGTTAAGTAAGAGTTACTTTATAATTGAATGAAATAAATTTTGAAACGTAATTAATTAAATGTCAAACAACCAATTCACATTTAAAGTAGATTGATGCAATATACTGTAAAAGTAATTTCAATAACGGTTAAGCTTTAGCTAAAGTAGATTCAATACAGAGAACTTAAAAACATAATATATTAATGGCAAGTAGGTATAATAGACAAATAAGAACTCGTGTATAAAACAACAGCCAATATCGCAGACGATAAAGACTGCAATAATATTAATAGTTTTTGACACAGCAACTGTCTTTAAGGCAGCTAACCGGACATACTTTTGTCTACATCCAATTACGTGGACAATTTAACGCGGCCTTCACTACAGCAAGTAAATTACACCGTTCATTATGCATGCGACCGTCAGCATCATACGTTGCCGAAAAGCCATCTGGCGCCAAGACTCGCTCTGCAGGAGTCGAAACTTATAACTCTTTCTTGGACGATGACATAGTATTTTCATTTTGCGCTACGAATAATTCGAAGAGTTTAAATTTTACATGGAAACCCATTCTTTACCCGGTACCAATCTATGATCTACTCGAGACTAATACGATGTACTGTCTATAGTTTACGCGAGTAGTACACATTTAAATAAAACACTTTAACGGTTTAAAACGCGATAGATATTAGTTAAGCTTATTTATAAATTACTTTAACTACGGCCCGGCGCTTCGGATGCTTTGAAATGGAAAATGCAGCTGCCGTGGTCACAACATTACACAACAAATATATCGCGTTTTAAACCGTTAAAGTGTTTTATTTAAACTAATGCCATGTCTTAAACCACTAAACCACGGGCAGAGTCTCTTTACTTTGACATAGATAAAACCCTGTGTGGCCAGGTTAAGCCCATTTGCTTGGTACTCAAGAAAAACACTTTCATTACGAAATTAACCTGGAAGCTTTGTCCATGACATACCTACTGTTAGGTGACGCTTTTACAACAAAAGCTGCATTTTTAAGAACATGAAATGATACTATCACATATAGCATATATCGTAGCCAGGATATCAACAGTTCAGTTTGAAAGCTCATCACTTCGAATGTAATATCAATCGCGTAAAAGGAAAAAGCTTACGTGCAGAGATCCACATTGCTGAAACGAACTCTGGTCGCTGTGCGATTTCAAACTCCGCTTCGAGAGTCCGGACGCAATCGGTGATAAATTGAGCGGCTTATCTTTTGTTTCCCCACACGAGTACATGTAAGGCTTAACAAATTCCCGACATTAACTCCGGGATGGATTGCGGTGTGCGGGTTTGGAAAATTTTCAATTGCCAATTCGCTTTTGTCTGCAGTGAATGTAAAATGCTAAAACACTCTTTAAATTTTACTAACTTAATTTAAACATCGTTTTAGATTATAAAAGAAAAATACGACAAGGCCAGGATAACACCCCACAAACGCTTATTTTCGTGCTTCAGCACTATTAATTGTTATTAGGTGGATTTCGTTACCGTTCGTGATAGTCTAGTGTTTTACACATTAAAACGATAAATGTTTCTTAAAATTTCAGTGTTATCTCTACCTTAACACTTTTTTAACAAACTTGAAACACTGTCTATAGTTTACGCGAATAGTACACATTTAAATTACACATTTTAACGGTTTAAAACGCGATACATATTAGTTAAACTTATTTATAAATTATATTAACTACGGCCCGGCGTTTCGGATGATTTGAAATGAAAAATGCAGCAGCCGTGATCACAACATTTTCAAATAAGTTTAACTAATATATATCGCGTTTTAAACCGTTAAAGTGTTTTATTTCAAAACTTGAAACACTCTACAATACGAAACGATATTTAATAAATATTTATAATTAATAATGGACAGTGAATATACGTTCTCTTCTTAAATATGACTACTAAGATTGAACAACACACGCCAAGTAGAGGTTTATTTGAACTCATTGCTAATAACCATTGAGGGCAACACCTAAATAGGTCTACAAAACCACGTAGTTCATTAAGAGAAGTTACGAGCACTTAAGAGCGGGCCTACTGCCGGAATGCGCCTGTAACTCGAAGATATCAGATTACGATATTGAAACAGCATTGTTCACACGGACGATAATCTAAAGAAACAACGCTACTGTTTACATTTCCACAGTGGTCACACATAACAGGCTTTTTCCGGGTGGATTATTGGATTAACTTGTTTCAAAGGCACGCGCAGTTTAAATTAAATGCTGTAAAATGTTTAGAGCAGTCATTCTTATATACTGTTTTAAGTTTGTGACGCTTTAACACTTAATCTAAAAACGTGATTGTTAAAACAAAGTAAAGTGTTGTCAAAGTAACTGACACATTGAAATATGAGTTACGACTTCATTCCTACAATATATTGTGTTCACAAAGGATCGTAATAATGTGAAATTTGAAGCCAATAAAAACTATGTGTTGTAGTTTACGCGGGTAATACTCAAAAACTGACACTCAACGGTTTAAAACGCAAAGTATGTATTAACATATTAGTATTAATAGTATTAACTTATTTACAAATTTTTTACTACGGCCCAACGTTTCGGTTGCTTTGCAAAAGCCCTGATCACGGCTTAACTAATATTCGCGTTTTAAACCGTTAAAGCGCGTTTTATTTGAATGTCATAAAAACTTATCTATTGTAGTAGGAAAATTTTAAGTCATCGAACTAGAAAGTTTTATATCTTTGTTAGCTTTTGATCTCGATATGGGGCATGGGGCATCTGTTTTACAACAAAAGATGGAGTGAATGCGGGCTCGGACGCTCTTCTGAGTAATGAGAATATTAATCTCAATGGTTTTAAAGATTAACCTATCAATGTCGATAGGGGTTTAAGACCACCCAATAAGTAACATTAAATAATTAATTTTTAAACGGTTAAGATACGACCGTCTTGGGGGTAACAGTATAATGTTACCATTCGGCCAAGATCGAATAGTAACAATGTATTGCGAATCAAGTGATCGTGGATTCCATCTCCACCGAGTTTGACTGTTTCAGTCTGTTGTTTTCCTAAGGTTTGAGGCAATGATAAGTCGAAGGCACGTCTTGTTAAAATGTTATATGACTTGAGTATTTTACTATCTTTCAAGGAACGCTGCAAGGTGGGTCTGTTAGCGTTTGTCAAAATAGGAACGCGACAAATACAATATTACAGTGTGAATTTTAGAGAGATTTTAAAAAATTTAAAACATAATAGATAATATAATATACGGTTGAATAATTATAATCCACAAACTTTTTCCACACCAATCAAAACAAGTTATATAAAGTATTAAATAGCAAAGTAGAATCTTGTTACAGTTCTC